GAAATGGACGGGGTGACTGAAATGGAGGGGGGCAAGGGCCACAGCCTCCGCGGTCACCGAGGACCCCGTCCTTCCCGCGGCTCGCATGGGGCCCACGAGGGCAGGGGTCCGGGCTGGGCGGCCCCGGGTCCCGCGTGTGTTTCCAAGGCCCCTCCTCTCCTCAGATGCGGTGACCTGCCAGCCCTGCGGTGGCCTCCCTCCTGCAGTTGCCCTCTCTTCCCCCGACCCCGGGGGCCCGCCTCTGGTACCACCACCGGCACCATGTCGACCTCGTCGCTGCAGCGCCAGATGGAAAACATCATCCACAACTACTCGGAGGCCGAGCTCAAGGTCCGCGAGGCCACGAGCAACGACCCATGAGGCCCGTCCAGCTCGCTCATGTCTGAGATCGCCGACCTCACCTGCAACGCCATCGGAGATCGAGCATGATCTGGAAGCGGCTCAGCGACCACGGCCAGAACTGGCGGCACGCCTACAAGGTCCTGACGCTGATGGAGCACCCCATCAAGACGGGCTCGGAGCTTGTGTCGCAGCAGTGCCAGGAGAACATGTACGCCGCGCAGACGCTCAAGGACTTGCAGTACCTGGACCGCGACGGCAAGGACCAGGGCGTCAACGTGCGAGACGAGGCCAAGCAGCTGGTGGCCCTACAGAGCGATGAGGACCGGCTGCGGGAGGAGCGAGCCCACGTGCTCAAGACCAAGGAGAAGCTGGCGCAGACTGTCACGGCCTCCTCAGCAGCAGTGGGTTGGTGGGGAGTGGGGTGGGGGGCGCACAAGGCCGAGCAGGCGTAGCCGCAGAGCAGCGGGGATGAGGAGCTGCAGCTGCAGCGGGCCTTGGCCATGGGCAAGGAGGAGGCGGACCAGCCCGCGTCCTGCGGCCCCGAGGATGATGTCCAGCTCTAGATGGCTCTTAGTTTGAGCCCAGAGGAGCACGATAAGGAGGAACGGATTCGCCATGGGGATGACCTGAGGCTGCAGATGGCCATAGAGGAGAGCAAGCGGGAGACCGGGGGTCAGAAGGAGTCGTCCCTCATGGATCTCACTGATGTCTTTACGCCCGGCTCCTCCGACGGCCTTGGACCCCTGAGGGGGCCCAGTACCCATGGCCACTACCATCCCCACAGCCACCCCTGCCTCGGACCCTTGGGTGGGACCTCCTGTTCCTCCAGCTGCTGACTCCTGGGGTGGTCCGGCCCCTACCCCAGCCTCTAGAGACCCCTGGAGGCCTGTTGCCCTTGCGGGGCCCCGGCTGACCCTTGGGGTGGGACCCAGGCCCCTGCAGCTGGAGAGGGGCCCACCCCTGACCCCTGGGGGAGCTCAGACGGGGGTTCTGGTCGGTGGACCCAAAGCTGCTGATCCCTGGGGCCCAGCCCCAGCCCCAGCCTTCTCATACCCCTGGGCTGGGGAGGGTGGTTACCTGCCAAGCCCAGCACCAACGGCACTGCAGGAGCTATGCCCACTTGTGGTCCCGGACTCTGCCCACAAGCTATTCATGGGGGGCTTACCCAACTACATGAAAGATGATCAGGTGAAAGAGCTGCTGACATGGTTCGGGCCTCTCAAGGCCTTCAACCTGGTCAAGGACAGCACCACCGGGCTCTCCAAGGGCTGCGCCTTCTATGAGTATGTGGACATCAGCATCAGGGATCAGGCCATGGCGGGGCCGAACGGGATGCAGCTGGGGGTCAAGAAACTGCTGGTCCAGAGGGCGGGTGTGGGAGCCAAGAATGCCACTCTGAGCACCATCCACCAGACCCCCGTGACCCTGCAAGTGCTGGGCCTGAGCTCCCAGGTGCAGATGGCGGCCACCCCACGAAGGTCCTGTGCCTCCTGAACATGGTGCTGCCCGAGGAGCTGCTGGACGACGGGGAGTATGAGGAGATCGTAGAAGACGTGCGGGACGAGTGCAGCAAGTACTGGCTGGTCAAGTCCATCGAGATCCCCGGCCCGTGGACGGCATCAAGGTGCCCGGCTGCGGGAAGGTCTTCGTGGAGTTCACCTCTGTGTTTGACTGCCAGAAAGCCGTGAAGGGCCTGACAGGTCGCAAGTTCGCCAACAGAGTGGTTGTCGTAACCACCGCCGGGACTTCATAGACAACGGGCAGAGGAGTGACAGCTGAATATAGGGGGGGGGGCGGGGGGGGGGGGTGGATGGAAAGTGTGCACACGGCCCACACACGCACCCACAGACATAGAGGGAAGGGGTCTGGAATGGGGAGGGGTGCACGGCAGGGTGGGGTAGGACCCCACAGCCCCTCCCCAAGACAGCCTCTCCTTCCTCATACCTCACCCCCTCCTCCCCTTTTCCACTGTAGGAACAGCGTGTTTATATTTTATGGCCAAACTATTTTGAATTTTGTTGTCTGGCCCTTTGCCCTCCCTCTCCCTCCCCAGCTCCGCAGCTCCAGCCCTTTGGCCTCTAGTCTTCCCCTTGGCTTCTTAACGTAGTTGGTTCTCTCCTCTCCAGTCCCACGGCCCTGCCCCTCCTCCTCTGTGGCGGTTTCGTATTTGCTAAGACGAATTTGCGCATTAAACATTTGTTGTATTTAAAAAAAAAAGAGTAAAAATTAAAACTTTGCTATCTCTATCACAAGCAGGTCCTTACAGCTTGGAGCAAGGCAACTGTAGACTTACAAAAGGGACAGTGGAAGGATTTGTGGTTACAAGTTCACTCAAGAAAATCCTTTAAGAAAAGGGAAAAAGGGTACGTTCTCTTTGTTTTAGTAAAAGAGAAAGTTCAATCCTTTAAAAAAAAAAATTCTTACAGTAAGACTAGTGGGTGAACTAGCTGTGACTTCAGCCCAGCCTTCCAGACTCTGGAAGTGGAATTCCAAAACAGGGCTTGAAGGAACCTTCAGGGGTCAAAATCTCACAAGCCAGAAGGGCCAAGAAAGTGATTTAAATGTAGGAAACTACCTAGCGTTAGACCAGCCACAAACTGGTGGGGACTCCGGAGGACTGAACAGTGCAGTTCCCATTAAGGCATTCAAATTCAGATTAAATCCTTAAAACAGAAGCTACAGTGTTTACCAAGCAAAACAAGAAAGAAGTGGATTCCTCTGGAAGGCCTTCTATTTGCTAATCCAGAGAGAAGTGAACATGGAATAGTGGAAGAGAACATAGGAGATAACGTTGGAAGGCTTGATCTCAAGTTTTGATTTTATCTTCTTCCAGTTGTCTAGCTTGGAGCAGGTAACATAATCATCTCCCATGCTTTCCCCACCTGAAAAAGGGCATAATCATTGCTCTTTAAAAGGTTGTTGAAAGGATTACGTGAGATGAAATTATAAAATCACTTTTCAGCTTCAAACTCAGATTCCTACCACCCTCACTTCCAACCCTCCTCAACATATGTAGGTTGAATGAATGAATAAAATGATCATAATAAAAAGCAGAGTGTGAAAAGTGAAAAAACTAAGGTATAAATAAGAGATATTGGAATACCAAGAGAAAAAAGATCAAGTAGAATTAGGAAGAGAAAATCAAGAAAGTTATCAATGAAGAAATTTGGAGGATGAAAAGAGTTTCTGGTGGACTATTGAAGGGGAAATCACTAGCTGGTACCTGGGAATATTACCCTTCTCACCTGAACACAGCAGTCCAAGAGAAACACATAGGACAGTAAAGGAAAAGGATCACCAAATAAGTTCAGGAAATACTGGTAATGAGTGGAGTAACAGGTTAGACATGTAAATTGCCTTTATATCTTAATGTAAGTATAGTGGGTTTTTTCTTAACAATGAGGAAACTTTAATATGTAGGAAGGAAGAAAACTGATGATATACTGATTTCTACTCAGAGAAAACTGTTGGGGGTCCAACCTCAGCAGGCCCAGGGGTTCCCAAAGCTGTGGACGGAGTCAGCAAAGAAGGAATGACATGGAGACAGCGTTCAGTTGATCAGCAGCCTAGCCAGGATCTCCAGCAGGTTCTGTGT